CGATCGTTGATCAGAGATCGAATCAAAGATTTGACATTTATTACATAAAATAATCGTGAGAATAATTATTTCAACACTCACCGCTGTCGAGACTGTTCTGATTCTCCAAATCTAATCCTTGAACCGAAGATGGCCTCCCCTCTTGTAGATACTCTGAAACAAAAATTATTTTAATGGTTAATGAAAGAGAATGAATTACCACATCTTTAATATAACTTTTGGCATAAAAATTGTTAAAAATATTTGCGTTTATTCGTTGCAGAATTATTAAAAAAAAAAAAAGTAATGCATTACTCGATGCACTTTACTACTTATGCAATATGCATAAAAAAAAGGAAAAAAGGCATAGAGAAGAATATGCCTCGATTCCATTTAATTTCTCTCTTCATATATACATATATATACTCTCTTAATATATTTTCTTGATCTTGTCTTTTCAGGAAAACCACCTCATAATAATCCCTGGACGATTACATGCTCAACGCTTTCGACGTTTTAATTTTCACCTCACGCATAACACGATTACCTCAACTTTTGAACGATCCTTCACAAATAGAAATCCCTTTGCGCAACTTCAATCTACAATCTACGATCGATCTTTCGTACACGCGTTTACGCGTTTTCATTCACGAAAAAGAGAGAGAGAGAGAGAGAGAGAGGAAAAAGAAAAACATTTGAACACGATCGATTCGATCGATTTATTATCCCTCCGACTTTTACAACGCGAATACCCCCCCTCCCCTCCTGAAATCCAGTGGCCAATAATTCGAGCCAACACGTAGCTCTAATAGGGGACCACATTGAAATTTCATGGGATTTCGGGCGATCGAGCAGAACGAACTTAGATACACGGTGGTAAGCGTGCTCCCGACCCTTTTTGCTACACGGACGGGTATAATACGAGAAAGGGTGGAAAAGAGCCGCGACGGCCCCACGGGAGCCATACCCCGGTGATATTGGCTCCCATAGCCTATTCCTGCTAGGCGTGGGAGGGCCGAACCTTACCACCTTAGGCCGGCTGGCCGAGGAAAACTGGCCAAAATTCAAATTTCCCACCGGAGTATGCGCAACTTTAAGCGTAACTTGTGCGAAACAACCACCGACACCCCTCCACACCCCGATATTCGCGATCAGAGGGGAGGGAGGGGAAGGGTCCCTTCTTTTTACACGCGTATCGATCATTGGTTGAAGTCGAGTCGACAAGGATACGATGGGATCCGCGGGATATTTGCAGATTTCGAAAATTGGAAGCGTGAATTCCTTTCTTTTTTATTTTTATATAAAACAGACGAATTGTTGGAAAACTTTGAAATCTGTTGGCGAACGAAAGTGTTTCTCGAACAAGAAATATTTCTCTCCCTTTGGACATCCAGAAAACTCTCTGAAACGCTATAAACTCGAATGAAATAATCTCGAACCATGGATAATGAAATGGTCGATGAAATGGTCGTCATTCTCTCATTCTCTCGGAAGAATCTTTCGTTCAAATTAAATTGTTTATCCGAAATGAGGAATAACTGGTTGATAAGGGAAAGGAACAAAGAGGAGGGGGTGGGGGATAAGACGAAGGTGCGCGTTCAAGCTTGTGAAATTATCATCGGTCATAAGTCATGGGGAAAGGGAGGGAGGCGCGGTGCAGCGGAACGCAACGCGTTCGTGGTTTCACGTGGAAGAGATAACTCGTATAAATAACCCGGAAGTCCGCGGTGTACAATAGTCTTTTTTTACGAGTATGACTTTTGGGAGTTCCAAGGCCGCGCTTGGGACCGCTGTTGGTAATCAGTTTGTCGTTGCCACCGAAATATACTACGAGCGAGGAGAGGGGGAGGAGGGAGGGGGGAGAGGTGAGAGAGGAGTAAAAAAAAAAAAAAGAAAGAAAGAAACATTTCACTTGCTGCGAATTTTGAGATCTCTCATTACGAGTGTGTGAAGGATCTTTGTTAACTTTGACTCTTGTAAAAATTATTTTCATCGTGCTCGATATCCTCTCCCGTTCTATCTTTAAATTTTTAATGTAAAAGTGTAATTCGTATTATTACTATTAAAACCTGTAATTAATTTTTGATAGAAGGATTATTTATTTAATTTCGTGTATATTATCGATTTTTTACGTTTTCGTCGAAGAACGATGTTCGATCAATCTTTTAAATCGATAGCCGATTGACTCGACTTACGGGCAAATCCCTCAAGAAAGGGCAACGCTCCCCAAGTCGAGGGCGCCGAAATTATCGCAATCCCTAAATCTCGCCAACAACTGTTTTTAAGCGTCGAATTATCCTTATCCACTTCATATGTGTATCATCTTCCATTTCATTTTTCTCAAACAATCCTATAATTTTAAATATAGGATTCCACTTCTCTCAATTGATTAACATATCCCTCCAAATATCCAATTATCAAAATTTATTAGCATCAAAAGTTAACGGTTCTTCAATCTTTTTCAAAAAAAAAAGAAGATACTAGTTTTCCAATATTAAAATCTTCAGATGCTCGTTAACATTCTCCATTCTCTCGATTCTCTTTTGCAACACCCTCTATTTACATTTTATCATTTTTGAAACGAAAAAATTTATAAATACTAAAACAATTATCCAAACTTATTAACATTTCTTCATTTTTTCAAAAAAAAAAAGAAACTTACTAATTCTCCAATATTAAAATCTTCAGATGCTCGTTAACATCCTCCATTCTCTCAATTCTCCTTTGCAACACTCTCTATTTTATCATTTTCAAAACGAAAAAATTTATAAATACTAAAACAATTATCCAAACTTATTAACATTTCTTCATTTTTTCAAAAAAAAAAAGAAACTTACTAATTCTCCAAAATCTTCAGATGCTCGTTAACATCCTCCATTTTCTCAATTCTCCTTTACAACACCCTCTATTTACCACATTTTATCATCCTCGAAACGAAAAAACAATTTATAGTTATTAAAACAATTATCCAAACTTATTAACATTTCTTCATTTTTTCAAAAAAAAAAGAAGATACTAACTCTCCAATATTAAAATCTTCAGATGCTCGTTAACATTCTCTCAATTCTCCTTTGCAACATCCTCCATTTACCACACCTTGTCATCCTCGAAACGAGAAGAAAAAAAAAAAAAAGAGAGAAAGCAATTCCTCCATCCAAACCTGTTAACGTCACAAAGCTGGTTAACATTTCTTCTCGCAAAAGAAAGAGAAAAGGGGGTTAACCCTCCCCCATAATAGCCACGATTGTCTTTACGCGAGCGCGTATAAATTTGGGCGGCGCTCGAAGCTGTTGGGAACCGGTTTTGGTTTTGTATTAGCATGTAACTCCGGCAGGAGTTGAAGTTGCGATGGCTTGTGGGTGGCTGGGCGAACGTAGGGAGGGTAATTACCTCCTTGGGGAGCCCCCCTCCGTTCGCGTAGCCGGCAATAGCCCCAGCACGGGTACAGAGGCTTCCCACTGCTCCCAGTGGTCCCGCGGGAACGAGCCAGTGGCTCTCATCCTGCCGGTTCTCATTCGACCTAAATTGGATTTCGTCGTAGCGCGCGCGCGCGCACATGGACTTTTTTCTCCTCCCCTTTTCGAATTGCGTTTCAATTGCGTGGCCAAAGGTCGAAGAGGGTTGGGAGTTAAGGGTTGAGAGTTGATCGGATTCGCGATGATTGAGAGATTTTTTTTTTTTTATCGAGACGATAAGGTGATGTAAGGCGTTTTGATGATTCGTCGAGGTTAGGCGTGGTTGAGATAAAAATTGCATTTTTGTGGAAGCGGCGTGGTGGTGTATGGGTAATTAGTACGATGAGTCGTTAATAAATGTGTTTTTGACGATGACAGTGATGTAGATGGTAATGGCAATGAGAACAGCCTTGAGACTGGTAGTGAGGATAATAGGATGATAATGATCTTTGGTGATAATGGTATTGAAAATAATAGGTATGGTTATAATATGGATGGTACGATGATAATTATAATGATGATAGTAATAAAGAGAATGGAAATGTTAATAATAATGACAGGGGTAATAATTATGATTCTCTTGGATTAACTTTGATTAAATTTTCGGAATAGTTGAGTTAATTAATAAACGATCTCTCTCTTTCTCTTTCTCTCTCTCTCTCTCTCT